CACCTAAGGTGAACAAAAAGTCAGTCCCCAAAGACATTAAGACAAAATTCGAGCTAGCTAAGCTAACTACTTCTTCACCATCACACCAACCTTTGTAGTTTCCAATTCTTTTATAATTAATTGGGGAAAACTGCAAAGTATTATAATTAGTAACTCAATTACTTTTTTAATTGCACAAAATGTCAATTAAAATTTGTAACGGAAATTATAATTATAATTATTCAATTATTAAAAAAGAACTAAAAAAGTTTGTAACGGAAGCAAATGAAGAATAAAAGAAAATAATAAGATTGTCTTATTATAGCTCACCAACTCCGATGAGCATAATTTTTCACGGATGAAAACCATGAATAAAGTCACTCTCATCCCTAACACAGGGACAAATTAAAAGAAAAAAAAAAACTATATCCAAAATAAAAATTTAATCAATTATTAAATTAAACTAAGAAAAATACTTTCCGATATATATATTACTGTTACGTTACCTGTTGATGGAGGGCGAAGATGTGGGCCACGCATCCATAAATTGGGTCCCTGAGACGGGCCTGGGCCTCGTAGCAAATCGTGACAACCGCATCCAAGCGGCGGGCCGGCGGTATGTGGAGGAGCAGCTTGGACACGTTGCTGGCCCCAAACACTTTGTGGACCGCCGCAAAATGGGCAGCCCCTTGCTCCGAGTCAAAATACGGGGCAAATATGCAGCCCACCACACACTTCCTCCTCAAAAACTTGCATGCCCCGCATGGCCCACTGGAGCCCGACCCGGAGCCACCGGCGGCACCGGCCGCCGTGCTGCCGCTGGCCACGTTGGAAGTACTCATGTATGGTTCAATCGATTGATTTTTTTTTTCGGGTTTAGGGCAAATTCATGACAAGGGTTTTGTCTTTAGGAGAGAGAGAGTGAAACTAAAGAGAAAATGTGGTGGAGAGAGAGAGAGAGAGAGAGAGAGAGAGATTGATAAAATTTCCTTGACTTTTATTTTGGTTATTTTGGGAAAATTTCTTACCCGGCTCGATTTCGGATTAGTCGGTTCTCTTGTGGATCCGAAAACCGAAAGGTCCCTGTACCAAAAAAAAAGAGTTGTGTTGTGTAATAATTTATATAATAATAATAATGTGTTGCTTTTGAAGGGTGTTTGTTTATTATTATTATTATTATTATTATTATTATTATTATTATTATTATTATTATTATTATTATTATTATTATTATTATTATTTTGAAAAAAAACACACACAAAAAGATGAATACTTTGAAGCCACGCGATGAAGCAAACTCGCACATAGCTGCTTGCGTGAAGCAAACATGAGATTAAGCCCACCCTTTATAATGTATCCTTTTTGCTATTATTTGTCTCGTGAGTTTAATTTGCGCCCACGATGAAACTCATCATGCCTTTCGAGCTCTATCGATCGCTTTTCGAATATATGTTTTCGAACTTATGTACGTGATTATGATTAGATGGTTCACGAGTCGGATTGAAAAAAATTTAAATTCTATTTAAATTTTTTTCGCGAATCGTGTTTTTATGAGGTTACGCGAATGAGGGATATATGGTGTGTCGATGAGATTGTGTACATAAATTTGGCCATAACTGCGTGTTTCAAGATTTCTAGAGATGCCAAAAAACAAAAGAAAAATATTATTGCCTGTCCAATTTTACTTACCTTCACTAGCTTTTTGTTGCTGAAAATGACTTTCCTATGTTTACTTGTAACTGTAATATTCATTTCACCCATAAAGAGAAGTTTGTAAGAGAAAATTAAACCTCTGTGTCTACAAATCATTCACCACTTGCTTTTTGAGATGAATGTATAGTGACTAATTAATGAGGTTATCTAAATCATTCACCACTTGCTTTTACATATCCCGATTCTCTGGTTGCAAACTTGAAAAATGGGTGATTTTTACCAACTTAGCAAATGTAGAAATAGATGCAAAGCTAGGGTATAAGATTAATAAATAGCTATCATATACTATTACCATCATTTGTATAGTACAATTAGATCAAGCAACTAACACTATCATGTAAAATCTTGAACTATATAAGCTGCAATTTGGATTAGATGAAGAAATTCAATCACCTAACAATCAAAATCTTGGGTGTGTATGCCATGTTATTGTGCAAGAATGAAGGGTTGTTATTTCCTTTTTTTTTTTTGGAGCAAGTGTGTAAGAAACTGGGAGAAAACTGGTGTCGGTCCCACTAACATGAACCATGGGAGGAAAAAGTCCATATGAAGCCCAAATAGGGTTCCATCCCAAAACCAATTTGGGCTCCATCCCAAAACCAATTGGTTTTGGGATGGAACCCTATTTGGGCTTCATATGGGCTTTTCCCTCCCATGGTGTGTTTTATGTTAGTGGGACCGCATCCGTTTTTCCCCCAGCTTCTTACATGGTATTAGAGCCGGTTCTATTGGGACCGTGCGATGACGTACCCATTTATGGGAGTCTGCTTCCCCATGTACCCGTTTATGGGAGTCTACTTCTAGTAGGCTTGAGGCACCCAATCGGGCTTGGGGTTCTCGCATCCGTTTATGGGAGTCTGCTTCCCCACGTACCCGTTTATGGGAGTCTACTTCTAGTAGGCTTGGGGCACCCAGTTGGGCTTAAGCTTCCGAATGACTCACAAGTGAGGGGGCGTGTTAGAATATCACTTGTGAGTTGTCCCACATCGTTCATACATGGAAAATAGACCCACCTTATAAGTCTAACGGGCTACTCCTCCTTCCACCAATTTGTTTTGGGATGGAACTTCACTTGGGCTTCATATGGATTTTTCGCTCTCATTGTGCGCTTCATGTTGGTGGGAGCGCACCCATTATCCCCCAATTTCTTACAAAGTGAAATTCGAAATATGCGTACAATGACATATTGTTTAAAGATAACATGCGTATAACCAATGCAAAATCGGGTACTGTTTGAGAATTTATGTTAGTTAGATGTGGCAAGAGTTCTATACGCAACATATTCTAACGAAAACACTGTCGCGTATCGACGAATCACTGATATCGTACAGATCGATTCTGACTGAAAACGTGTAAGAGAAAAATTAGATTTCGATGGCAAAGATTCGCGCATACATATATGATTTTTGTTCACCATCTC